GAGTGATTTGAACAGCAAGTAAGTTTATTATTTCAACAGTAGATCAGTTAGTGCTTTTAATATTAATAGTTTAATTTTAATGGTAAGTAAATTAGTAATTTAAATAAGTAAGTCAATGAGTATTTACAATTCGAGTAATGATAAGTTAAAGATTTTAGCAATGGGTGGATTCCAAATTTTGTAGTGTAAATTCATGACTTAGCAGATATTTTAACAGTGGATGATCGTTTAGCAATGCAGATTCGTAGCTTTTACAGAGATTGGTTATGATTTTAATAGTGGGTAAAGAATATACAAAATGTGACAACTATGATCATGCCGACCAATCAGGTATTATATTTTGAGTATGCATATAGTTTCTTTCTCAAATAAGCTATAAGGTAGCTGTGCGACGCTATCGCACTAAAACCAGGAATGTAGATCTTGAACAATTAGTATATCATTAAGTTTTTATCAGACATTAATCTAAAAAAAATAAAAAAATTATTTGTATATACTATCATGAAACGGAATAATATTATTATGTTGTAATTTACTAATTTGATTTTGATTGTAAACTTGATAATATAATTAAAATAATAGAAATCATAGACAATTAAAATTTTAAGGTTGATAATATGTAATTGTTAATGTAATTACTAATTAGGATAGCTGCATGGTGTGTGGTATTGTGCAAAAACCAGTATGATCACCTGTAACAAATTTCAAAATTCATGTTCAAGCAACCTACCATTTCATTAGTTATCAACAGATCTAATTTTTGTTTGTCTCACTGATTTAAGCTCTTTTACTAAATTAGATAAATAAAAATAAAAAAAGTAGCTTGTTACTTTAAATACTTTAATTATAGCACTTCTTATTGCTTGATCAGATGACTTTATTGTTTGGTCAGATAACTTTATTATCATAGATGAAAATACACAGAAATTTGCTATTAATCAAAGGCTTTATATTATAAATATTGGAATATTTAAAAAATATCTATCTAAATTAATTAACTATTCACACAAATTGCATACTCATGATTACTGAGTAATATATCATAGCTTAATACTGAAATTTAGCTATTATATCTTTATACAGAAAAATATATCTATGAAATTTTAGCTGAAATAAGAATCATTATATAGCATTATGTAGCATATAATTGTGACTTATCTATAGGTTCTTGACTCTTTTAAGTAATTAATCACCAAACAAGAAGTTCTTGTATTGTATCATTACAGATCCTAATTATATGATGTGGTCTTTGTATTGTTATTATAATAATAAAGTCTAATTACCAAATAAAAGGTTCTTACACTGCTATCACAATGGTGTCTTATCATTAAACCTGAGATACTTGACTGCTATCGCAGTTGCCAACCCTAATTACTAAACAAAAAAATCCTTGCATAGTAATCATCATGATGCTTGTACTATATCTAGATTTTGCATCACTATCATTTAATTATCAGAAGGTTTTCTATACTAGAGCATATTGTCACATAGTTTTCAGTGAACCCTTATACTTAGTAAGGGGAATATTCATCGATAGTGAACCTTGCAATAAAATAAAAAATAAGAATTGAATTGGTGAATCGAAAAATGTAACGAATATATCACGTGATGACGAGATCGACCAAAATATAATCAATGTGAAAATGTCAAGTAGCATTACAAAGATCAGGTATATGGGGTACTGTGATCATAGATTATAATTTAATAACAATTAAATTAGTAAAAATTTAAGAGTTTATTGAAATGCAATGTAAAGTATAAGAAAGTGAGCCATAGTATATTAATTATCAGTATTGTACAAGGTAGTAAAATAGAAAATTAATATAAATAGAAAAAATAAATAAAAAGCAAAAGTTAGTCTCTTGACTAGTGAATGTTAAGAACGAAATAAAGTGTGTAAAATATTTGCCTGTAAAGTATTGGTTCGAAGATGTGTTGAAGCCAAGTGAGACCTTAAAGTTGAAGTACCATTTGAGCAAGATAACAGTAACTATGATTACTGTCTAACTAAGTGATAGAGAAGGACTTGGGCAAACAAAGTATCCTCATAATGATAATTTAAGTTTAAGAAGTAATAATTAACGAAACTACGAAATGATATAAACGAAATAAAAAACTACCACAACAATAATAAAAAAAAGAACTTACCGAGCGACAACTGTGAAAACTGTTCTAATGAAACGAAGAGACAACGAACTAATAAAAGCAAGTAATAAACAGTACAAACAAATGGACAGATAATCAAATACAGAGAATTAAATAAAAGGAGCAAAACCTGGATCTGTACTATATTAGAAATAAAATAAAATAAAAAAAAAATTATAATTTATAACCATAGCAATACATATAGAAAATATTAAATAAGATAATCAAAAGTGGACGTAGAGTTGACAAAGTAAGAGAAACCAAATAAGCATTGTAATACAAAATACAAAACTAGATTAATTAGTACAAGGTAATAAGATTATGACCACATACATTATGCAACAAACAGAAAGAAAATACAAACCTTTGTAAAAGTGATCAACAATATCATACCAAGATTCTACCAAACTGTTTTATTATAGACATGAAGATGAGGATATAGAGGATTTTCTTTTTGATTTTGAAATGTAAACAGAGTTGAAAAACTGGGAAAATGACAGGAAGAAGAAGATAGCCAGTCTTTATATTTCTGAAAGAGTAAGAGTATAGGTTCATGAGTTGATGAAGTCTTCGAATTTCTGGGCTGATT